CTGGTGTACCTCACCCACATCAGGAGGGTGGACAGATGTGGGAGATAGGACATACACACATTTTCCATCAAGGAACAGGTGTGGGGAGGACTGTCATTGGGAAAGCAGACAAAAAAAAAAATGTTTTTTCTATGCAGTTCAGGATTATATTTCTCAATTACATCTTATAATTAGTCAAACTGGAAAATAAGAGGGTAATGCGGGGCAATCTGAAAACTAAAGCTACTCTTGTTCTTGAATTAAACCTGATTATCTCACATTCCCCAGGGAAGGTAACTAATAAATTCTTGATTATCCCAGGAGGCTTTAGGGAGTAACTACTATGGTTATAATTATAACCTTAATTTTTACAGGGGTGGACCGGTAAGCCAGTGGAAGGCCTCAGTCAGATAACCAAAAGTTCGAGCTGTGGATCATTGTATGACTAGGGCCCATATCAGGAAACACTAGTCCTGTTTCCTGAAAAACCTTACCTAACCTAGCCTAACCAGGAGGCTATGATTAAATGATCACATAAAAACTAAATGTAGAGAAGAAAAACTGTATAGTCGTCTTCTTTCTTGGGTTCACCCTGCCTCAGAGGGAGACTGCCAATGTTTTAAAAATAAAAAAAATTACTTGAGTATAATTCTCATTGACATACACAATCATACTTATTCATACATGCCTTATTACTTTTCAAGGTGGCATCAAAATCATGAAAAAGTCTATCTGCCAAAGGTAAGACTAGCTACAGTTCTTATGTTATGTTCTTATGTTATGTTCTTATGTTATGTTCTTATGCTATGTTCTTATGTTATGTTCTTATGTTATGTTCTTATCTATGTTATGTCTATGTTCTTATGTTAGTGGGATGAATTGTAAAGGACCTGCCTAGTATGGGCCAACAGGCCTCCTGCAGTGCTCCTCCTTTCTTATGTTCTTATGTTTGTAATTTAGATTGTAATGCTCTCATTAAATATAGTACAGTACTACTGTATAAGGAACCCTGCATAAATCATGGGCTTCCTATTAATCCAGAGTCCACTAAAGATGGTGAATTAATGAACATAGTTAATTAAATAAATACCTTCCCTCATAATGATTGCAATGAACTGCACCTCATAATTTTTTGTTTTCTTAAAGACTACAATGATCTGTATTTTTTTTTTTTGTCTTCACAGGACAGTACTGAACTTTATGTCTCATTTTGTCTTCATGTACACAAATAATTTAATGTGTGTTATTATCTGCTAATTTATACAGAGCATTATGATTACAAAAGTCAAAACAATAAGAGAACAAAGAAAAGACGTGTATGTGAAAAATCTCATTTATTATTTTGGAATATCTTGTCAGAATCTTCTTGACTCCCCTGTACACACAACTGGCCACTCTGTGTCTGTTCTTCAAACACATTATGGCTATTAAAAAAAAGGAAATCTGCCTGTTTTATAATTATCTGAGTTACAGAAATAATGCATACATTTTATTGAGATCTAACTTCGTTTAGAAATTGACAACAGAAACAATAAACTGTCATACACAGCATAAGGCATACCCAGACCCACAAACTGATTGGTGGGTTATGCAATCCATAAGCATACACTGTACATCTCTTCTTTTTTTTCTGTCAGCAAAGTAGAATGGCCAGTAAACAATAAATACTTAATAAGAAAGGAACTTAATTAGCAATGGAGACAGGGTGATGGCGACCTCATTCACTACAGCATTTTATTCTGCATAAGCCTAAAATGTTACCCTATGCAATAAACTGTATAACTTACCAAACAAAATGTCTAAAGCCACCCAAGATGTGAGAAGAAAATGTTTTCTAGTTTTAAAAGAAGCTATGCTTAATATTCTTTCCAACAGTATTTAAAAATAATTATCCATAAAGTTAGTGTAACTGATAAAGCCTTTGTTACAGAATTCTAAATACTGCACATCTTGAAAAAAGTGAATGGTGAAAAATATCATGATATCTACATCTCAAGAGGTAGCTGAAATAATTACTAATACCATATGAATTTATACAAATTTATTTGCAACCGCTGGTGCCAGAACCTAGCATATCATATAAAAGGGTACCACCTTAATGCTGGTGAAAGGTTCTTGATCTAAGAAATTAGAGCTTCTCTTCTCTTCCTCAGAATAAACGGCATTATCTCCCATTCCCCATGTGCTATATATGACCCTTGTAGGTTAGGCGCTTCCCCATTACTAAAATAATAATGAATATTTAGGGAAATTAGTTTACATATTGTACATCCAACCTATCAAACCACAGCCAAGCATATACTGTAATGTATAACTTCACTTCCTTCACTGACTAGAATAGAACAAAGACATAACCACAACTGGAATGATTTACAAAAGAGCTAGAACTTTAAAAAAATGGGTTAAAACAGTATTCATTTACAAGACATATTTAGCGTGTAATATTTGTCTATGCCAGTGTAATTATGAACGATGATTAATCCCCATGGCACCTGAACACCCTGTCACCTTGCCTCTACAC